GAAAATGGAACTACCTTATGACCCAGTAATGTGATTTTATATAGAATTCATGTTTTTAGTGAAGAAAACAGATAGCTTTGTGCACTGAATTAAAAAACAGTGAGTTTTAGGGCTGTTTGGATAAAATGGAACATTATGCTGATTTGACTTAAAGCTATGGGTTAAAAATAGTTATCTTTCCTTGCTCTTTGGGCAAGAAGGATTTATTTTTGTTTTGCATGTAGGCATAAATGTTATACATTCTAATATTTAAAAAATTTTCGTATTATCGTTCATTTGATAGTTTTTTAAAAGAATTAATTTAGAACAGATACTCTCTGATCCTGAAAATTAGAAAAAAAAATAGCAGATAGACATTTAAATATGTATGTTCTGACTGGAATTATGGTTTATCTATTTAGATAGCTTGAAGTTGTAGTCCCAGCTGTGAAGAGTAAAAAGCAAGGGCCACAGTAGGAGACTGAGAAGAGTCATGAAACCCTTATCACTAGAGGCAACCTTTGGTAGGAAGAAGGAATTTATTTTAAAACATTAGAATGCAGCCTCTAGCCCCTCCCTATGTGTGAGGAGTCAGGTCCATTTCATTCACAGACTTACAGAAACATCCATAGACAATATGTAATGAATGGGCATGGCTGTGTTCCAATAAGACTTTATTTACAAAAGCAAGCAACAGGCCTTATTTGGTCAGAGGGTTATAGGTTACTGGCCCCAGGTTTATATTGAACATTAAGTTTAGTTTGATTCAAGGCAGGTTCCTTCAAATAAACAAGCAACTAAACCCTTTGAATGGTTTTGAAGACCGTTCAAGTCTGTGACTCAGCCAGCAAGAGCTGAGTTTGTGGTAGAAAGTAGTGCTGTTGGAACACTTGCTATCTCCCATAACCTTACCTCATAGGTCCCCAAGTCTAGCCTTCATCCAGTCTTCTCGCAAAACTCTGTTCATGCAACTTTACTTCTTCCCCGTAAACTTTCCTCCCACCCTAGACCCTGCACAGTTCAGCTGCCGAGATAGGACTGTCTATAGTGTTAGGATAGGCCGTAGTGCAGATGGCGCTAGCTCAAGACCATCTGTCAGGTAAGGAGAGGTCAGTCATCCCGGTACATAAGTTGTGCACATAGTGGTTGTCCATTTCAGAAAATTCTGAATGAACTAGAGGAAATAATTAAAGATGAAATTTATGATACTTTTTTTTTTTTTAGCTGAGCCATCCTGCTACCTATTGGCAGCTCAGCGGCTGCTCAGCTCGGGCTGGACTCGAACCACTGTTGCTCAGAACTCAAACTCTTGAGCGAGCTCTTAACCAACTGAGCCACTTGGCCGGCCCCAAATTTATGATACATTTGTAGTAAATACGATTTCCCCTTAATTTATCTTGTTTCTATATTTAAAAAAAACTTATTACAGAGTCATGATTTTTTTTTGTTTGTTTCTTTATTTTTTATTTTTATTGGGGAATTGGGAATTGGGGAAGGGGAACAGCCAAGTTGTTGTCCTTCAGTCTTAGCTGTGGAGGGTGCAACTAGCTCAGCTCCAAGTCCAGTCGCCATCCGGCTGCCTGTGGGCAGCTTGCAGCCGCTCAGCTCAAGGTGCCGTGTTCAATCTTTATTGCGGGAGGGTGTAGCCCACCATCCCATGCGGGAGTCAAACCAGCAACTTTGTTGTTAGGAGCACGTGCTATCATCAGCTGAGCCATCTGCCACGTGTTGGCAGCTCAGCGGCAGCTCAGCTCGGGCGCAGCTCACTAGCCCATATGGGAATTGAACCGGCTACCCCATTGCTCAGAGCTCGCACTCTTAACCAGCTAAGCCCCTCGGCCGGCCCAAGGATTTGTTTATCAGACTTCCTTAAAGCAAAGCATATGCAGTCTATCCTCATTATTTGTGGATTCTGTTTCTTTTTGCTTAAAAATTATTTAAAAAATTTTCAATTACAGTTAACAGACAATATTATATTAATTTCAGGTGTACAACATAGTGATTAGACATTTATATATCTTACAAAGTGATCCCCATGATAAGTCTAGTACCCATCTGACACCAATATTATAGACTTTTTTTTTTTTTTTTTTTTTTTNGTTGGATACCTCTGTTTCATTTAGTTGCATTTCTTGAGGTTTCTTCTGATCTTTTACTTGGGACATGTTTCTTTGTTTTTCCATTCTGGCTGTCACTCTGATTGCTTTGATGTAGTAGATCACCAAGAAAGAAAGAAAAAAAAGAAAAAAAGAAAAGAAAGAAAAAGAAAACAGAGAAAAAGAGGAAAAAAAGAAAAAAGAAAAAAAGGGGGGGAGGGGCTTTCCATCCACTTTAATCAGCAGACCACTTGCTCAATAATAGAGAGACTTTGGGCAACTCAGCACCAGCTGTTGGGGGGAAGGGCTCAGTGCGTCATGCACCGACCTCCCTCTAGACTTGAAGTGAGCTTCCCACAATTAGCTGCTGTGTGCTCTGGAACTGTGGTCACCACCAAAAATCCTCACAGGTTGTTGCGGGCTGTCTCCTTCTGCAGAAAACCCTTTGTGACCTGCGGAGGTAGGGGCCAGGGACCATGGGCTCAGGGTGCCCCTGGCAACACAGCTTGAGGTGGGCGGGGAAGGCCTCCAAGGCACCACAGGATGTGGTCAGTGTCCCCCACCAAGTCAGAGCAGCATGCACTCCTGCATCAGCAGCCAACCCACACAAACTCTCCAGGAAAGCCCCGGCTGAATCACCCAGGTGCACAGCTCACGGCCCTACACTCCCAGGAAAACTCCCAGCCTCAACCTGCCCCAATTAGCCACTCACAGATCAGGTTGAGCAGCCTGACAGCCAATCGCCATCCAGGCAACTCTGCACGCGCAGTGCGGAAATCGGGACCTAAGGCGAGCCGCGCACTGCCGGGTCTCAATAAGCAGTCTGTTGGAGTCGGAGCATGCCTACTAGGCATTTCCCTGGCTATGCAGCACAAGCAGTGTGGAGGGTGCAGATCCAAGACCGCATGCGCTCGTGCACATGCACACACGCAGTCCTGCGCCAATTCCAGCAGACCAATGCAGTCACAGACCTGAGCCTCTGTGAGAGGGCCCAGCCCTGAAAAAATGGCGCCCTCCTGTGCACTACTCATGTGCAAGCTCCACACCAGGGGAACAATGGTCCCAAAACCTCCAGCTCCCGCGCCAAAGGCACTCAGTTCAGTCCTTCCTGCAGACTCCTGGGCCCCGCTCACACAGCTACTCCTTCCACCAGGAACTGGGTGAGTGCTCACCAGCGAGCGAGTCGTTTTGCTGGCTCCACTGGTTCTCCAGGTGCCCTCAGCTTCACCAAGTTGAGCAGAGAGTCCTCACTATTTTCTACTTCCAGCTATTGTAGAACTCCTCTTCCGGGCAAAGTAACCTTGGGCTGGTGAGCGCGGTGTGGGGTCAGAGGGTCTCTTCCCCAACCAGAGAAGCCTCCCCACCACTGAGGTGTCCCTTATGGGGTTCCCCCTCTCTTGTCTCTGCCCCTCCTACCAGACTCAACGTGGCCTCCTCTTTAAGTCCTTCGTTTAGAGGTTCTTTTCATCTAGTGTCCAGGGAACTTCCGAGGTTGAATATCTTATAAATTATTTGTAATTTTGGTGTGATCCTGGGAGGCAGTCGGCACAGCGTCTGTCTATTCCGCCATCTTACTGGAAGTTGATGTGTCAATTTTTGATAAGTTCTCTTTTTCTAGGCATTTGTCTATTTTATCTCAATTTTCATATTCTATTTTTAAATTTATTTTTTATTATTATTAGTTTCAATTGTACAAAACAATGCAATAGTTACCCTTTTCACCCCACACAAAGTAACAACCACTCTCCCCCTATCCTCTGCCCTTCCACCCCGATATCATACTTATCTATTACAATTCCATTGACTCCATTCCCACACTACTCCACATCCCGTGACCATATATATATAATTATAGTTGACATACAATATTATTCAACATCAGCTTCAGAGATATACAGTGTGGTGATCAGGCCTCTACACCGTCTATGAAGTGGTCTCCTTAACAAGACATGAGTCCATCTGGTGCCCTAAAAAATATTTACATTATTGATTATATTCCCCAGACTGTCTTTTTTATCCCTGAGGCCATATTGTAGTTACCAATTTGTATTGTCTCGTCCCTTCCCCTTCATCCCCACCCTCAGTTTTCATAGTTTTTTATATAACGTTGTTCATAATATCTTTAGTGTCTATATAATACCTAGTAATTTTCATTGTTACTTTCTGATGTTGGCTATTTTCCAGTTTCAGGGGTTTATCAATTTTATTGTGTTTTTTCAAAGAGCTATCTTTTGATAGTGTTGATCCTTTCAATGGTATATGTTTCTTTTTGATTACTTTTTACTCTTCTTTCAACTTAAAATATTTTTTTCTAATTACTTAAGATTGAGGTGAGCCTTAATGCTTCATTGATTTCAGCCTTTCTTCTTTTCTAATTATGCATTTAAAACCATAAATTTCTCTCTAAGCTTTTGCTGCATCTTATGATTTTCAGACCTTTTACTCTCTGAATCCAGAGCTTAGAAGTCTGACCATTACACCACCCTACCACAGGGAGGCGTTATTTCCCAGAAGAGCATGGCCATCAAATCCATAGACTGTGTAAGCTTTGAGTGGGTGACTGCAGTGTCCTAATATGCAGAAGGTTTACATTTTGGGTAGCAGTGGGATAGGGCTTAAATGTAGTTACAAATACCATAATTTTTATTTCTTCCTCAAAGGCAATTATTTCAATTAATAGAGATAGTTTGATATGACAGCTTTTTATAAGCATCTTTAGGAAAGGAAAGGATTATTTAATTTTGGAAACAAAAGGGAAAATACTATTTTAGATATTTAAATCCCATGATAGGTCAAATGTTTGTCTTCTTCTTGATATTTATAAAATACATGTCTTATAGGAAAACAGCCAATCTACTTAAAGTGTATGTATAAATATAGTATTTTAGCCCATATTAAAATCTCTCTCTCTCTCTCTCTTTGTAGAAAATTTTCACTACTGGTGATATTAACAAAGATGGGAAGCTGGATTTTGAAGAATTTATGAAGTACCTTAAAGACCATGAGAAAAAAATGAAATTGGCATTTAAGAGTTTGGACAAAAATAATGACGGTGTGTCTTTTTTTTTTCTACTCATCACTCGTTAGGAAGAAGCACTTCTCATACTTTTAAGAGTCTAAAACAATGTATATTTAGTCTCTCTTTTTTTAGATGATAATTATTACTAGTGTGAATACTTACTTGTTTTTCTTAGTAATGTGATTTTATTTATTTATTTATTTTTATTGTTAGTTTCAGGTGTACAGAACAATTCAATAGTTACCCTTTTCACCCTCACAAAGTAACAATCCCCCTCTCCCATCTATTGCCCTCCCACCCCCGATATCATGCTTATCTATTACAATTCCATTGAATCTGTTCCCGCTCTCTCCTCCATGTCCCGAGACTATATGTATATATAATTATAGTTGACATACTATATTATTCAACATCAGCTTCAGATATACAATGCGGTGGTCAGGCCGCTACATCGACTATGAAGTGG